TGTACTGGACTTGGGATGTTCTGGTGACTCACTTTGTTTGGAGAAAGTAGGAAGAGGAGGAGAAGTACTGCAGGACTACGGTGATGAGTGCAATAAGGATTATGGTAGGGAGAGGGGACTGCAGAGAAGGAAATATAATATTGTAGAGAGCAGTAGTGGAAGGTGTTAAAAATTCTGCAGTTTTCTGAGCAAGACTGGAGGACCATTTGGGAGTTAGATGTAGGGTACTGGAAGGTCACATGCAATAACTCTTTTGAGTAGAAGACACCTCCAGTCTGACCCCATTGTATACCAAATCCCTACCCCAGTGCTAGCCCACCTGCAACATCTGTGCAATGGATACACCCTGCCTTTTAACACCATTTGCCAAACTTTCCAAAGGTTTTCTGTTCAAGACAAGCTTTCCATCTACTACCAGCTCCCAAGCTGTCTACACGCCTTCCACCTCAATGACAATATTAAGGGAGCCAACTGACAGCAAATACAGGCTTTTTGGTTTATATTCGTTGTTGAAACTGCAGGAGTGGGGCTGGAAGAAATGCCTTTGGAAGTTGTAACACTTAGCCTTAACAGTTTGCTGATGCAAAAAAGAGACACAACTATCTGCAAGCTCTGAGTTGTGCATTCAAAGTGAAGGATAGATCAAAGTGCTTTTAAAAAAAATAAGTCTTTGTATGTGGGAAAAAGAGACAGGTTTTATGCTCAAGAGAAAGTAGATTGAGATGTGACCTCCAATACTTTTGGTCTTAAATGGGTTTGGCTATCTTCTTCTGTTGGTTGGTCGAGTCGGTCTCCTACAATTAGTGTGCTGTGTTTATTTTGTCATACAGGAAAGAGAGTCCACAATCTCTGTAAAAAATGAACAGATTTTGTCTTTAGAATACATTACTAATTGTAGGATTTTTGGTTGTAGCCATGTTGGCCTAAGGACATAGGCAGGCAAGGTTCTCTGGGTATATGTGATATCTTTTATTAGACCAACTGAGTAGTTGGAAAAAAGTTCTTTGCAAGCTTTCAGGCGCAGTCAGCTGCTTCAGGCATAGGGAGTCTCTGCTGTTCTGAGACTCCAAGGAATGAGAGAAGCTAAAAGTGTGACAGGATGACCACATGCCAGTGAAAAGGAGAGGGTGACAATTTATTTGAGCACTTTGCTGACCTTGGCAACTTCATGATGTTAGGAAGTCAAAGGTAACTACTACCTATCAGCTAGTGCTACTCTGAAAAGAAGCAGAAATGGAAATTCATCCTACCTTCAGCAGATGGGCGTTGTGAAGGTTCAAAGGCCCGGCACTGATTGATGACCTCTTGCAGTTTGGAGGGGCAATCTTCTCCAAGAGGGTCTTGGTAACGTTCCTTGTAAACTTTCTGATAGATATCTTTGGTGCTGCACCCTAACAATATGGAGAAGCCGGGAAGTCAGGAGAGACAGACTTGTTCCAGATTCAGCAAGAACGGTTTTGTAAAGGTGATCTAACTCAGGCAGAAAGAAAGGGCCCCCCTTGTGGCCTGCCAGGCTCATAGCTGGGGAGATCCAGGACTGAATTCTTCACTATGCTGAGACCTTGAGGAACTCCTTTTCCAAGACCCCTGTGTTTAACTTCAGCAATACTGAAGCACATGCTTAAATGCCATATTTACCTACATTTAACTTACCTTTTTCACCAGACAAGCTGGTAAAATTTGGGCTGCACATTATGTGTGAGAAAACTGGATCCTTATGGGACTGGAAATTTGGCAGCGAAGAGTGCTAGCAGCTGGCAGTGTCCTTATGGCTCTGGGAGCCACAGCAGTTTGCATTGCCACCACTCCCTTGCTGCCAAATTTCCAGACCCATAGGGTGCATTTCAACTGGATAAAATGACCCCCTGGGCTGGATTGGGCTGGTGCCCAGAATCAGTCTGTGGCTGTGGCCAGCAGATAAGGTCAGACTCCACATGCTGGGCTGGACCTGGCATGTGGCCCTGTACCCAGCGCATGGGGTCATACTGGTCCTTGGGGTCAGACTCAGTGCCATGGGTTGGACCCAGCGCATGGCCCCAGAGTCAGTGCCGGATTAGACTCTGTGCATATGGTCAGACTTTGCATGCTAGGTTCAACCCAGCAGATGGCTCCAGAGCTGGTATGGGGTTGGACTCTGTGCATGGGTCCCATCTGGAGTATGGGGCTGGCAACAGACTTAGCTCTCTAGCTGCTGCTACTTGGTTTATTCAAGGAGTATTTTTTTCTTCATCCTGGGTGCTTCTATACATGCCTTTACTCCAGCCTAGATTTACTGTGGAGTAAAATACTGCACAATAAGGGTTTTTGGGTAGGTGTCCACATGTGCAAATTAGGGAGCAGCTTTGCTCCATTCCCTGCAGCTTTGCAATGTGCCCCTGTGGCCACCTGGATGAGCTCCAGTGTGTGCGCGCCCCCCCCCCGCCCCTTGCTTGCCCAGAGGCTGGCAGGAAGCATGGGGCCAGGAAGTGGGGGCGGGGAAGGGGTAGAGAAGTGCTGCCTGCTGCTGGAGAAGGGATAATGTCTCCCTGGGGCCCGGGCTTAGAAAGAGCTGCAGGGGAGATGTAGGTCCCAGCCCCCTGCCCTGATCTGCCGGTGGGGCAGCTAGCAGCAGGGGTAGGTCCCAGCCAGCTGTAGGCTGTGCGGGGAACTGTCCCTATGCAGGGAGCTCCCATCCCCCACTCTGCGATCTTGCAATTGTGATCATGGAGTGGGGGGCTGAGGAGCTTGTTCCTCACCCAGTTCCATGAGCATGGAATGAGGGGGAGGGCAGGGAACAGGCTGGGGAGCTGGTTTCCCAGCCTGTTTCCCCCCAGTTCTGTGCCAAGGGTCACAGAGCCACTGATGGGAGATAAGGGTCTCCCAGCCCCCTGCTCTCCATTCACAATGGTGGAGTGAGGGCTGGGAGATAAGGATCTCTCAGGCCCCGCTCCATGATCGCAATCTGGGAGCAGGGGGCTTGGAGCTCCCTGCTACTAGGGCAGGGGGACATAGTTCCTGCCCGGGATGCTGTGGCAGAGCCTACCCAGGGAGTAGGCAGCTTGGGTGGTGGGGAAGGGAGCTATCTCCCACCCCCTCGTGGATGGCTGACCAGGAGCAGATTTGGTTCCTGGCCAGGCATCTATGAGAGTGGTGCCATTACTAATGCCAAGTAAATTTGCTACTTGCATTTGCAAGTAGCAAATTTACTCAGGATTAGGGACATGTACTGTGAAGTAAGCATGTGCATGTTTAGACCCATGTGCTTACTTCACAGTAAACTGCTAATTCATCATTAAGTGTCTCATGTAGATGCGCCTCCTGTCTCTTAAAATCAAAGTGTGTATTACATAAGAAGGTACAGTATATGTGAGTTGGATCAGAATAAGGTTCCTTTGGTGCTTATAGGTAAGTATGTGTTGAAGTGCTTTGCTGAACTGGAACCTAAATACCAGGAAGATAAACCTACTGTGCTGTGGGTTTCCAGCAGATGTAAGTATGTTGGACACTCTTTTGTAACACAGCTCCTCTGGATCCCAAATCTCTGAGCACTAAATAGTAATAGAGGACTCTTGCAAATGGTTTCATTTGGTTCTAATTATCTTCCAGAATCAATAGAACAAAACCAAACCAGGTGCTAGAGCATTTACAAAGTAAGCTGGATACCTGAAATAGTACTGAGAATGAACCTTTTCTGTCTTACCTTCAAATGGAATTTTGCCAGTCGCAATTTCCCACAGCACAATCCCCAAGCTGAAACAAGACAGACAAACCTGCTAAGCACTGACAAAACCACCTTGCCCTCTCTCCTACCCACCCCCTGTCCAAGTTCTAATGAGTGAGGTCAGGTAGTTTCCATTGCCCAGATCCTGGCAAGTGTCCGCTGCTGAAGGCTGCCACTTTACACCTCCCTTTCCTTACTCTTGAGTTCTTTAGCTATAGCACTGGGGATGGAAGGAAGAAGAATCAAACCTAAGACATCCAACACTCAGGTAATGTTTTTGCTATCTCGGCTGTACTTGTGTTTTCTTCTGGCCTAGAAATAAGAGTCCCACGCCTCATTTATGACCTGCTTTCCTAGAGCAGATCCACCTGATGTTCCAGCATCACTGGGCAGCCTTCTATGATCACTCTGTGGCGATTATCTTCCTTAGTGCTTCAGCATATGAATTCCCTCTGTGCCCAATCCCTTGAGAAGGAGAACTTGGTGAGTTAAATATCCAAACTCTGCCATTTCTTATGTGGTATTAATATTTTGCATTTTTGTAGCCTCCTCTATCCAAAAGGGGTCTACAAAGATTAATCAATCTCCTTGCTTCCCAAAAATAGATAACTAATACTGTACCATTTTAATAGGTACCTAAGCTAAGGGACACAGAGATCACGTTAGCACTTAATCTATAGAAGAGATCAAGATTCCAGGTTTCCAGTCCTGTTCTCATCAAAAACTCATGTAGGTAAGTCACCTGCAGAATCTTTCTAATAATCTGGCTTCTATAAATAATTCTACCTGCAGAAGAGCCAACACCCCAAAAGGCAAGGTGTTATGCCAGAGCACGTCCTCTTGTGGTGTAGCATGACTGTGTAGAGTCCCTTCCCTACTCTCAAATGCCACATGGTTGTTGCAGTAAGTTATTCACAAACAAGAATATTATAAACAAGATCCCTCTGTGCAGGTCTCATTTATTAAGTCTTTGGAACACAGTCTTGTTTGATCCTTCAAAGACAAAGCCTTTCCTCATGGTTAAGAGATTCCACGCCCCTTGTGCCCAGAACTTAACTGAGGTCAAGCAGGTTTCTCCAGTCTACACTCTCTTTAGGCTGTTTGCCCCTTTCATGGCAGTGGTTTTTTTCTGACTCAGGGGAAGTGGATTAACACCCATATTCCACAGTGGCCCCCTCAAACACCAGTTTCCTTAACAGGGCCATGCCATGGAATGGGTTTGGCTGGGCCAGGTCTACCTGCTCCAGTCCTTAATGAGGCCAGATGACTGATGCAGAGACATACCTGTATATTTCACTGTGCAAGTCATAGATGTGGCTCAATGAGGCCAGGCCCTGAGGGGAGGTATAGGCCGAGGGAGAGACTTGTCTTGATTTCTTTTCTTTGTAGTTCCGTTTGATGGAGGACTCTGTTTTACATAACTCAAATCCTGACAGCTGAGTGAGGGAATTAGAGAAAAGGTAAATGGAGAAGCAGCATGAACTCTATATGGAACAAGCAGCATGAAGATGACTGAGTCCTATTCTCAAAGTTGCTGAACTGATTTTATTTGGGTTGTATGATAGCCCTTCTCCAGAATCCTTTCTGCTGCCCATGAGACCAAGTGAGACATAATGAGGACACTCTGTGATGCCAATCTGCTGCTGAGTGCCATTCAGGGGGCCACATGTTCAAGCCCCTACCTCTATGTCTTAAAGGATGCAAAAATGGCTTCTTTGCTCCTATTGTGGAAGGTAGAAAAAGGAGAGAAGTAATGTTTCACAGTGCACAATAGTGCCCCCTTCTGGCTGATCAATGAAACAGGATCAGTCTTGTCTAGACCTTGAATGGCTATTATATGGACATACTATTGTCACAACCCAAAGGTGTGATTTTTGTTTTTGTGTGTGCTTTGGCACCACTGAATTATTTTCCCGCCGTTTGAAGCTTTCTTTGCAGGGTGCATTTCTTCTTTGCAGCATAGAAATGCACGTTGCAAGGAGTTCCCGCCATTTGTATTTAAATTCGAGCCCCATTATTGGTTGTTTTTAAATTATTCCCACATGGCGGCTAGCGATTGGCTTGTTAGCCGTATAAGAGGCGTGAGTGGTTTCCGCCCAAGTTGGAGGACTCCACGAACATCAGGAGGAGGAGACTTCACGTCTCGTGAAGATCTCTAAGCGCTGCGGAGCCTATTGGACCCAGCGTGAATATCAAGAAGGCAACAGGGGTCTGATCAGCCTCTCACCTCTCCCCGCCGCCGAGTGCAATCCTCGACGTATCCCTCTTCCCTGCGTGCAAACAAGGATCCACGGAGCCTCAACAACTCCGTGAGAGTGAGAGTTTTGTCCGAGTCCTCAAACGGGGATTTAAGCGGAGCTTTACCTGGGAAACTTTCCAGCCTACACCGCGACCATCTACGGTGTAAGTAAACAATCTTGAATCAACCACTAAGCGTCTGTGCCTGATTCTAGCGTGTCACCTGCTTTCTCCGACCCAGCGTGTCCGGGCTGCTGGCCACAGCCCGCGGCGCAAAAAAAGGGCCCCGGATCGCTCCCGGCCCGCACAACTATGAGTCCTTGAATTACAGAATCATAGAGAAGCAGGGCTGAAAGGAACCTCACCAGATCATCTAGTCCAACCCCCTACTCAAGACAGGATTATCCCAATCCAAGCCATCCCATTCAAGTGTTTGTCTAATATATTCCTAAAACTACAAACAAGCATGCTGCACAACTACAAGGCATATTTTTTCCAAAATACCAAGAACACACTAACCTGCCTCAGGTAGAGCAGGGGAATGAAGGCATTGTGCATATCCCATTGCTGTAAGGACTGTTAAAATATGCTTAAGAGCTCCAAGGAAGAGGACTAGGCCCCTTGCTACAGAGGAAGGCAAAGCTCCCCATAGTCCATGCCAATCTGGCTGTGAGATGAAATTCTTTCCTGGTCTCAAATGTCGTGATAACTCTGACTCTAAGTGGAGGGGCAAGACCCTTGTAATCAGCCGTGCCATTCACCAGAATGTCTGGTGCGTACCGGTTTATCGGATGTCACCATTGTCCGCAGGAAAGATGGTCAATTATCGAGTCGGATTCCAGAGGGTCCTCAGTGGTTCTCGCCTGCCATGTTTTTGCTGGAATAAATGTATTTAGTAGGGAGGAAGATGTATGTTCTGTACCTCCTGGTCCCCTCCTTCAATCCTCCCATCAGTCTTCCCATTTCGGGGCTCCGCCTCTCCTACACCCCACCTAATGCCAACCAATGATGTTGAATCCCGGTCTTCTGGGGTTGGTCACGGTGTTGGTACATGTGTCTTGACTGTTTGAAACTGTATAAACATGTATGGACGTCAGTTAGCCTCACTCAGCTTTTGCCTCAGTGGGCCTGACCTCGTCTCCTCCCAGCCCTGGGTTACCTTGACTCCCAGTGTCAGTTCCATTTTCCTTACTCTGTCATTGCGGTGGCATGGACAGCTGTCTCTCCATCTCTCTGCAGGTTACTGGTGAACCCAATCCGTTCAAGAGACAACAGGAATCCACGGCTCTGCCTCAGGTAAGTAATACTGTCTTTCTGGGCTTGAAAAATCTCCAGAAACCCCCTCTTAGGGCTGCCACCACTTTCCCTCAGTGGGGCATGGCTCTGCTCTGGGTCATTGGGTACCTGCAAGGGAACCCACTTCCAGTCCCCTGGGCTTCCCATCCCGAGGGGTTTTTATTCCCTGTTCCGTGGGCCAGCCAGCGAATCGGCACTGGCACATGGCCATAAAGCACGCCTACGCCGGCACAGAAGTCAATCCTGGCTTCTCCTGGATCAGCTGTTTTTTGGGGGGCTTTTTCTTCTGGCACAGTGCTGTCTCCGGCCACAGCTCCATGCCCGCTGCTTCCTCGGCTCAGCGTGGCCTTGCACCAGCTCTGCTCATTTTCTTCCCCAGGTAAGTTCCTTTCTGGGGTTATATTTTTGTCACAACCCTCTTACCAGAAGCCTCCGAGTTTCAGTCCCAGAAGGATTGTTGGCACACCCAGTCTTGACTTCAGTCTTGGCTGCAGCCAGCCATACAATGCTTCTGAGGATGCCAGAAAATACCTGTGACTGCTGTAGGAACAGGAAGGGGGGAAAATCCTTCCCAGCTTCATGTAACAGCCAGCAAAATTCAGAACTATGGAAAAACCAAATAGACTCCACTCTACTCTGCAATCTGGGGATAGCAAACAACTCCACACATCACACTCCCTAGCTGGTGAGCCAAAACTTCCCTTTCTGTAATCCTTTCTACTCCATAAACTTATTCAGGCTCTTTTAATCTTCTTTGTAACCAAGCTGGTTGTGGACCTCTGTTTCATTCTCTTGATGCTGAGCATGGTCCTTCCAATTTTCAGCTGCTCTGGGCCTACTTTGGCAACTTCAAGCCATTGCTACACATCTTAATCTGCAGTGATAGAGAAAAGGTATTCTCCCTCTTCTTTATGGTACCCTGTAATAGGTAAGGTGCCTGGCATTACTGTGATGCCCCCTAGTGGCCACCTCAGTCCTGTCTGGCTCTTGCTCTTGCCTCCTGGGATCTTGCCCTGCTTCCTCACCTACCATGCTTTTTTGTTACTTGTAATGAGGGGAGGAGGCTGGTGAGTCTACGATGATCTCTTTTCTTTTTCCCTGTGGTCATTTCCTTAGATCCTACTTGCCACAAGGGCTCTTACACCCAGGCCCATGCTTTGCAGGTGCTACCAGTTATTGCTCATCATGAGGCACCTTGCCTCAGTACACTCTCTGGTCTCCCCAGGCCTCCAAGCTTTTGTCAGAGTCTTCACCTTTCTGGTCTCTGCCCCCTTTTTTCTAGTTGGGCTCCTTTAGCTCAGGCCCATGGCACCGGGTCCCATCTTATGATTCTGGGACACACAGATTCTGGGACAATGGCCCTGGTTTCACCCCTCTCTGGCTTACACCCTTCCCTGGCAGGGTTCTAAGCTTGGCTGTGCCCAGCCAGCACCCCACTATGGTCTCCTCATTCACTCCTTATAGTCACTCCTGTCTACCGGTCAACTCTAACAAAGGCAACCCATTGCTTTAACAAAAAACCCTTCCCACTCTGGGTAAACAGTACATCGAAAGCAAGTGAGCTATCACTTTAACAACAGTCTTCCCACACCTTGTAAACAAGTATCAGAAGAAAGCAAAAGGCTGTTGGGCTGCTGCCCTCCTTGGAGAGCTGCTTCCCCTGCCAGCCGCAGAGCCTCACTGCTAGCTCCAGCTTTGGGGGCAGGGCTTATGTGTATGGAGCCCCTCTCCCTTCCAATCCCTTGCTCTGTCCTCCCCACTCCACAGGGGCTGTCAGTCAAAGGGCCACCCGTGCTCCTGCTGCTTGGTCTGCTTAAAGCAATAGGACACTGGCTGGCATGGGCCCTTTCAGCCAGAAATGACTGCTACAATCTCTGTCTTTCTCTCTCTGGAGTTATTCTCAGTTCTCCCTTTGCTGTCATCAGTCAGAGTTCCCCCTTGCTTTCACACAGGCATTGGGTACTCTGATTAAGACCTCCTCTCTCTTCACTCCTTTGACTGAGTAACAGGGCTCAGGTCCCCTGTTACATACCCTTTCAAATATTTAAAGATTTAAATAACTTCCCCTCTTACTTTTTCCACAAGCTGAACATGCCTATTTCTTTCAACTTCACTTCATATGACTTACCTTCCAAGCCTTTTATCACTTAAAGGAGTCAGTGGGCATGTCTACACATGTATTATACACATATAAAAGCAGCTTTTATGCTTGGCATCTACACGTTACAGCATAGTAATGCTGTGTGTGGACTGACTTGGGACTAAAGTTAGTGCCATGTAAGTCCACACAAACAGGGTTACTGCACAGTAAAGCGTCTACATGTGCCTTACTGTGCAGTAACTACTTAGGCATAAATTTGCTACCTGCATCATGCAGGTAGCAAATTTATGCCCAAATCAGCATAAGTCGCCATAGTTATGCGCGTTACGGGCACACACGTGTAGATGCGCACCCGTACCATGCAGTAATTTTTGGTTACTGTGCAGTAACGGTTCATGTGTAGACATGCCCAGTATGTATAAGAGTAAGGAGGTGAGGGTGAGGATCCTTCAGGATGCAGAGAAAATTGATAAATCCCTGGAAAGAGGGGTTAAGGTACTCTACCTGACTGACATCACTGTGTTTTGCACTAATTCAGCATTTCCAAACATTATTCACACCACTGAGCTCTGTCTATTAACAGTTTTTCCTACTGGGCCTATTTGGACTGGGCTTTCCTACTGGGCTTTGTTGTCAGGGATGATGGATACTAGATGGCTTCTCACTCTGTTTAAAATTCCACGTTGTTATTCAAAACCTGTCTCAACACTCCCTTCTGCTTGTTTTCCTTCTTACCTTATTTATGACAATATATAATTTACTGTGTGTTATCCCTGTACAAGCAGTCACATTTATGCATGGCAGCAAACAACAGCTGATAGAAATACACTCACTGAAACCAACATGTGGAAATGTGGGATTTTAAAGATAGGAACCTATATCCATTTTTTAGACAACTAAGTCTAAGTTTGGAACAAGGACAACTTTTAGGTTTCATGTTTGTACAGCACATAATACAGTGGGGTCCTGAGGCCCACTCGTTATGGTAATACAGTAGAACCTGGATCCTTCACAGGATTAGGTTCATAAACACTGTTATCTCTCTCCATCCCCATCAAAGATGAGCGTTTACAAAGTAACCAGGCATATAAACATCTGCAGGGGGCTGCTGAGGTGCTCTAGCATTTTTTTCTGAAACATTCACTTTCTGATTAGTTGTGTCAGACCACTGAAGAGCTTCAGCTGATTGGAGAAGTGGTGCCCTGCCTTTGGCATAAAAGCTACCACAAACAGCTGAGTATTTCATTTTTAATTTGGCAACCTGCTATTTATCAAGTGGGCTACAAACCACCCATTTGTGAATGATTCAGGTTCTACTGTACAAATTATTAGTAGTAATAATCAATAAGACACTGATCTGATTTTCAAAGACACACACCAGATATTCCTCACAAAGCCAGCAGGAAATCCTTACAGTATGAGAGATGGAGCAGTATATTTTCAGTACAAGATTGTACATACATCAAATTTGGGAGTTGTGTAAAATGGACTTAATTTAATGTCACCATAATTAAATAACTAACAAAAGACACTCTTCTGGATGACTGTCCTGGGAGAGGATGTGGCACGAAGGCTTGAAGAGGACAGTGCTGTGTAAACGTGCAGCTGTGTATTATGTAATTATGTAATGTGAATTACATAATTCACACGTGCAAATACACAATGCTGTTTCTGTAGGTAACAATGAAACGGTGGGTGCCTGAGTTGTTACTTTGGAGATCATGACATCCTTCTGCGGGGGAAGGAGTAGAATTACAGGAAAGCCTTCAACCAATGTCAGATCTGTCAGAATCTTTTCACAAGAGAACACTTACCTTCACACAGTAACCTTCAGCAACAAGGAACTTGATGCTACTGATACTTCCATGCAATCTAGGCTTCACCTCTGTATGATGCAACCTACAGAAAATATTGTTAATGGACACATCTCTGCCTTTCCACTCTCTCCTCCAATCCTGAACAACTGCAAACATGGACAACTGAGGAACAAGGCTTCTACCACCAGGCTTCAGGCCAGATTTGTAAGCAAAGGACATCTGCAGAATATCAGAAAGTCTGGGCATCTTCATTCACACACCCATCTTCATTTCACTAGCTACTCATTTCTATGCCAGGGACTGTGTGTATGTTGAAGGTGATTGCAACTTGATTGCCCACATGCCAGTTACCTTGACTTGCCTGTACAGGTTTTCCTTGCTTTATGTGGGTTCTGTATGTGCAAATTCACTCTTATGTGATGACTCTTTTCATACCAAAAATTCATTATACGTGAGGTAAATTCATTTTTATGTGATCAGTGTGGTGGAAACCCACAGTCAGCTGCTTTGTGCAGTGCCTTGTGGGAGAGACACACACCAAAGTATAGTTTCCTGTATGGATCTGTGCTCCTCACTCGTTGTCTGTGACATGTATTTTTGTAGTTGCCATCCCCATTATGATAGTGCCCTGTGCTTGTGTGTACTGTCTGTTGTTGGTCAGTACCAAAATTGTCTTGTAAAAGTGATAGAAATGGGTCTGGAAGTCAGTACAGTTGAGGTCTTGGAACATATCCCTATTTGTTACATTGTAAAGTGGGTCCCCTTTATGCAAATTTGAGTTATGCACCATTTTCCAGGAATGCATGTACAGCGTAAAGTGAGGGAAACCTGTATTTGAGACCAATTTAGGCATGTGTTGGCACACTGTTAAATGAATTCACTTTTTTTGGCCATGTTTAGTACCTGTAGATACCTCTGGCTACATCCAGTGCCATCTGAATGCGATCATCCCAGGAGAGCTCAGGGTTTTTTGTTAAGACCTCTCTCAAGGTCCCATATCTACAATACTCCATAACAATAGAGAAATGAGGTCTTGACTCTGATCAAAACAAAAGTACAGTGAATGGTTACCTCTGGTGATAGCTTCTCATGAGACACAACTCACATACTTAATTCATTATTCATTAAAAATCCTGGGTTAAGAAATTTCTCCCTGTAACTTACCCAACACGCAATTCTGTACAAGTCAGAACAGGTATTAACAAATTAAGCCAACTCTTCCCTGGAGAGGATGTGACATTTTATCGAGTCATTTATGATAACTCTGAGAAGGTAAGAGTCCCTTTTTCACTATTTTCAAATTAGAAATTTTATAATCAAAATAAATATAAAAAGATTTTACTAGATCACTTGACCCTTTTGAGCAATTGCCAAATGTGGACTCAAGAGAAAAAGGGTTAATTTCTAAAATATGTGCAAATTTATTAGAATAAGGGGTGGGTAGGAAGACTCAAGAAAGAAACCTGGGGAAAGAAATTGAGCTGGAGCAAGGGAGAGAAATATTGAAACAGAGTTTTTCTGTTTCAATTTTCTGTTTCAATAGACAACACTAAACTATGGAGGAAGGCGGTCACACTGGAGAATAGGCTGGGGATACAAGCTGACCTGGACAGGCTCACAAGATGGGCAGACCAAAAGCTGATGGCATTTAATGCAGAGAAATGCAAGGTGCTCCACCTTGGGAGGAAGAACCAGCATCATACTTATAGTCTCAGCAGTGCTCCACTTGCTAGTACCATGATTGAAAGAGACTTAGGGGTCTTGATTGACCGCAAGAGGAACATGAGCCACCAATGTGATGCCATAGCTGGCAAAACAAACCAAACTCTGGCATGCATCCACCGATGCATCTCAAACGTCATCCTCCCGCTCTACTCGGCATTAGCAAGGCCACAGCTAGAGTACAGTGTTAAGTTTTGGGCCCCCCACTTCAGGAGGGATGTAGATAAGCTTGTGAGAGTCCAGAGGAGAGCCACCCACATGATCAAAGGCCAAGAGAGCAAGCCTTATGAGGAGAGGCTGAGAGGCATGGGACTCTTCAGCCTAGAGAAGAGCAGACTCAGAGGGGACTTAGTGGCAGCCTATAAGAATATAAGGAGTGTGAACCAGGACCTGGGAGAACAGTTGTTCACCAGGGCTCCCCAAGGGATAACAAGGTCGAATGGCCACAAACTTCTGGGAGGCCAATTTAGACTGAACATAAGGAAAACCTCCTTTACAGACCGTGTCCAGGGTCTGGAACAGACTCCCCCCAGAGGCGGTGCAAGCATTTACTCTGGACTTATTTAAAAGGCATATGGATATATATCTTGCCAGGATCATTTGACCCCAGCAGACTTCCTGCCTATGTCAGGGGGCCGGACTCGATGATCTTGCAAGGTCCCTTCCAGCCCTATGAAATAGATGAAATCTTCTGCATTTGTCTCTGTGACCGAAAACCTGGAGACTCCTGTCACTTTAAGGAGCGAGAACTCTGCCATTAGGGCCTTGGGCAGCTAAATAGAGGCTAGCTGTGAGAGGGCAGCTAGCCAGGAATCACTGCCACCAAGGCAGTGGGAGAACTTGCAGCCAGGAGGCCAGCTAGCTATTGAGGATCTGGCTGCCAGCAAATAATAACAGCAAGCTGCAGGCGGGGACTAGCCCTGGGAGGGCAATTCACTCAGGGAGTGGAAGCAGAGCAGTGAACTGCACCAGGGCAGACAGGGAAGCAGCCTAGAAGCAAAGGGCTGCAGACTGCTGATGTAAGCCCTAGCTGGGAAAGCAGGCAGGTCAGCAGACACAGGAAAGGTACACCTCTTGAGAGGCTGCAGGGCCATATGATGAGATGGGTAGGGCATAGGAGGCACATAAAGCCAGTGCCTGACAGCAAGCAATCAGCCTGCCTCTGAAAGCTGCAGAGGAAGGAGCTCCTGACCAGGAAAGCTACAGAGCATCACTGTGGAGCTGCTCTGGGAACATCAGTAAAATACTGAGTGCCTGTGGGGGATATAACCCGGAGAGGACAAGTGTTGTTACATACAGCTGTGGATCTGGTGCTTATGTTGGGACCCAGTGGTGGAATAGTTTTCTGTTACAGCCAGGCTCAAGGCACTGACCAGAGCAGAGGGCCCAGCACCCTAGCAGGGCAGAGACAGGGCCAGGAAGCCCAGTATTGCCCAAGTGGGGTGAGAACCAGGGGCAGGGACTCAGCAGCTCAGAAGGGCGAATTCTGGGGCAAGGGGCCTTGAGTGAAAAACAAGGGTCCAGAGGCCCAGAGAGACACTAACAGCTGACAGGGCTGGATCCCAGAAGCCAGGTCCAGGACAGTGGGCCTTGGCTAAGGGACCAGCTAGAGCAGAGGGGTGGAAGCTGGGAAGGGCTACCAAGGGAGTAAAGGCCTGAGGTAGCCTGGTGACTTTAGGGACAACAGTTCAACTGGAATGATGATGCATAACACCTGCAAGGCATAGGTATGGCTGTAGGGGAGGTCAGAGGCCGTGAATAGCCCATAAGGCAACAGGTGATTCAGGCACATATGGGCCAAGAGGACCCATCTACTGACAGACTGGGTTTGGGCTAGTGGGGTCCAGGAGGTGATCTGCTGGCAAAGAAAGGACGAGTACACGTTCTGGACCCTTAGGCAGCTTTCTTTTAATAATCTAACAATTGCACGTAGGTGTGGTAGGTGAGAAAGGACGGGAGGGTGCCTAGAACCAAAGTATGGCAGTAGCTGTTTGGTCACCAAGGGGACATCACGGCCACTCCTGGTGCCTGGTCCTGCTACAGTCTCACATAGAAAAAACTTTTATAAAATACTCCACAAATGTTACCTACATCTGAGAAATAAACAGAAGTGCCCTGGGCAGTCAAGGCTGGTGAGTTCATGTTAAAATGCCATGTAGAAGTTACTCACTACACAGGTGCTAAAAAACCCCCAAATAATTTATAACAGGACTGTCCCACTTCCAAGTGGCTGGGGGCTGCATGCTGCCTGAACTGCACTATAAAACTTCCCCCTTGCTGTATGACACATGCCCTCAGATACCTGGCCACAGAATCCCCACCTTGCTCTGCATCACAAGGGTGCCTTGGGCCACCGGCTGTACCACGTCACGCTGTGTCACCCTCTGAGGCAGGGTCAGGGGGTGGAAGCTGGAGGAGGGAAGGCGAGCCCAGAGATATGGGCTGCTGCTGCAGTTGGAGTAATGGGGGAAGCAGCAGTCGGGTGGGAGTCTGGGGTGTGGCGGTGCTGCGAATTAACCCCTTGTGGATCACACAGTCTATGGGCTGCTAGTTAGACAGTAGGGCTGTGCGAAACGGCACCATTCCATTTTGACTTGCATTTCGACATTTCGACGGAACAGCATTTCATTTTGAATTTCGTTTCAATTAGAAGCTGCTGTTCCGTTTTGTTTTGTTGAAACAGTTTCGCTGTTTTGATGCTGTTTGGATGTTTTGCCTATAGGCTATAATGGGGAAGCTTGAAACAGCCTATAACTTTGTAATTTCTGGCCTGATTTGGATGAAACCTGCAGGAATGGTAGCCCCTTCTGAGGGCATGAGGCGTGCCAGGTTTCAAGGAGATAGGTGCAGGGGTTTGGGGGAAACTGCACCTCAAGCTGCGGACAAGCAAAACTTATGACATAGGTGACACTGTGTGTTGTAAGTCGCAGCAGGGTGAAAACTGCAGGTATGGTAGCCCCTGCTAAGGTCACGAAGTCTGCCAGCTTTCAAGGAGATAGATGCAGGGGGAGTCTGGGTTCTGGGGCCCTGTCCCTCTAGCTGCTGACAGGCAACACTCGTGACATGGGTGGGTGACACTGTGTGCGCTATAGTGCGCCCTCACTCAACTGACACCAAGGCAGAAAGCAGGGCAGTTCAAACAATGCTGCCTTTTATGTAGTTTTTCCATCCCTCTGCCAGAGCACTGGGATTGGAAGGGACCTCAGGCAAGGATCACAGTCACTGGCCAGCTACAGTCAATATGAGAGCACTCCTCCCCACCCCACCTTCTCCCCTCCTCCCCCTCCCTTACTTTAGTTTCTGTTTCCCTGCAGGCAAGCCCAGCTTGAGCTTCAAAACTCACAACATTTCAAAATATTTGAAACGTTTCAACTTGCCTCATTTCATTTTGAGGCTGTTTTGAAGCTCTCTGTTTTGTTTTGATTTTGCTGTCTCGAGCTCAAAACAAGTCAAAACTGTGTCAAAACGAAACTGCAGGCAAAATTTCTCACAGCCCTATTAGACAGCTCCGATAAATAAAATGGTATTCAGTTTCCTCATTCACAGTGCACAGTCTGCATAGGCTGAGCTCTGCCCCAAAATTAAATAGCAACAATATTTTGATGGGACAAGAGCGTGCTTTATAGCCACAGTTGTCAGTAGGCAGTGGTGTGCTGCATCCTCCCAGTAGGAGAATAGGCAGACATTATATTTCAGGAAGGCAGTGCCTCCTCAACTTCTCTTTAGGCAGAAGGTACCTATTGCACCACCCTTTGGGAGGGTGCAACATTTGATCGCTATCATGACTAGCCAGGGAAATTATCACTCTGTCTCCTCCCTGTTGAGTTGAGGGCACTGAGCCACAGAAGCTACTGACCCTCTGCTCAGCAGAACTCAGAAATGGTACTTGCAGCAGGCCCCTAGGTAAAGAGAACATGGAGAAGAAAAGAGCTCTTTATGCTTTTCCTTCTCTGAGCATCCGAACAAAGTTCTGGCACAGCCTGGAAAATGTTCTGCTCCAAGGTAATTCACAGGATCAGATATTTTCTACTGAAGTCACAATTACCAGTAACTGGAGGGAAGGAGGGGCTGGGGCTGTACCCTATTTTGCTACACACTTCCCTGTCTATCCCGGATACAGTGATGCATCATAGAGCTTCCACGCCAGTGGCAAGTTTCAGTGACATTCTGCTCCATGACTGTCCTACTGGGAGTGACCAGAAGGGACTGAAGCCTGGAATGGTAAACTGCATCCCCTCCACAGGTAACATGGGAGGGGCATACACTGTGTTAGGAGGCAGGTGTGCTGAGTGGAAAAGGATATGAAGAACCAGTGAATTAGATCCTGCCCTCCCAGGAGCCCCAGTATGCACACCCCTTACCTCTCTCATCAATGCATATTCCATACATACGGAGGATGTTTGGAGATTCAAAGATCTTCATGGTTTCAATCTCCTTCTTGAAAATGTCCCTCACTGTCCTGCAAAAAGGCAGTAGGGCAATCAGATATCAAGATATGGAGACACTAGGGGAGCCAGTGGGGCAGGGTCACAACTCTTCAATACAATCCAGTGGTTGGACTGATATCAGCGACACATCCTCCAACCCCACCCGTTCCCCACAGGAAGTGATGTCATCTCCATGGCTGAAACCCAATGCTGCTGAAGGCCAATGCGTTCCAGAGGGGTGCTATCCTTTGGGGTGGTGTTAAAAGTGGACTAGAGATATTTTATCCAAATAAACCAAGTGTGAGTGTAAGTAGGGAGCATATTAACCTACAAATGGAGCTGCTTAGATGCCTCAAAATCAAAACAAAAACACAGAAGCAATAGAAGGATAGGCAAATCACTAAAAAAGCACACCAAGAAATAGCAAGAACTTGCAAGGACAAAGTCAGGAAGAAAAAGGTAAAAAAAATAAGTCGCACCGGAGAGGGAAGGTAAGAACAACAAAAAGCTGTGGGTCCACTGCTAAACAGCCATGGTGACCCCTTAACAGAAGATGCAAAGAAAGCAGAGCTGCTCAACAGCTACTTTGCTTTAGTCTTTACACATGAACACACTAAAGCTGCAATGAGACAGCTAGTGAACTGCCTGCATTCTCCAGCCACCCTGGGCAGGAGCTCTGGAGGCTTAAGGGACCCTCAAGTTCCCAGAGCATTTGCTTAGGTCTTCCCCACTTGCAGAGAGGAACCCTAGGGAATCTTGGGGCACCCCTTGATGGGGGGGCGGGGGGGGGCGGAATCAGGGTTTCCCTGCTTGCAGAGACCCACCCCCAATATCCAAGGGTGATCTCCGTAAGTAGTGAACGCTCATAGGTCCTGGTGTGGAGGCATGGGACCCCAAGAATTCCTAGTGTCCTGTGCCTCCAGTGGGGACCCGCTTATCCAGACCTGCCCCTTGGACCTCCAGGGACCCATCTGGGTAAGCAGGGAGAGTCAGACTTTCCCCATTTACCCAGACATGCACTTGGAGGAGACCCTAGCAGTGGGTCTGGATAAACAGGGAAAGCCCCACTTTACCTGAGGATCCAGACCCACTCCCAAGATCTCTGGGGACACATCTGATTAAACAGGGAAAACTGGGCAGGCACTCTCCAGGCTTGATGGGCCTGACCCTACCTAGGAATTTCTGGGGTTGCAGGACCAGCCCCTTCAAGTCCTGGGAGAACACAACACCCCTAGTCCCACACCATTAAGGGCAGAATAAGGGGCAATGTGTATTTTACCCAATTAAGCAGATCAGTTGTGCTCCTGCATACCACACACAGCTGATCCTCTTCATTTGGTGACATCTATTTCTAGACCCAGAGCCCTTGGAAGTTATATTTACCAAGTCATAGAAGATGGGTCAGGTACCAGAGGACTGGAAAAGGGCCAGCATAGTGCCACTCCTTAAAAAGGCAAAAACTTCAATACCCAGGAAGTTACTGGAGAAAATGATAAAGAAATGCATTTGTAAATATCTGAAGGAGGAAAGGCTGATTATGACAGCCAGCATGGATTTCCTAAGAATAAATTATGCCAAACAATTTGATCTTCTTCTTGGGCAAAGTAACTAGTTAGGGGGGATGCACTGGATATAGTGTATTTGGATGTCAGAAAGGCTTCTGTCCAAGTCCCACACAACCTGCTCATAAACACACTAAAGAAACACGGCAAACAAAAACTACAATAAGGTAACTAGAGTAGATTGCAAGCTACCACAAGGTGGCTTAATAGCCAGAAGCAAAGGGTAAATATAAATGGATATCTGTCAGAAAGGCAGGAGGTTTCAAGTGGAGTCCCATGAGTAGGGACCTACCAAAATCATGGCAGAAGTGAGCTGTGTGGCAGCTCCTTTAATTTTGCAGTTTCTCCTGCGCACCCCCCAGCCACTCACCTCTGATCAGTGGGAAGGCAAAAACCACGGTTTTAAATCCGGTGTGGTTTTGCCTTCTGTCCGACTGGTTGAGGGGCCCTGGTGGCCTTGCTGCTGACTGGGGAGGAGGCAAAAACTGTGCCATATTTAAAACCACAGTTTTCATCTCCCTGCTGATCAGGAGCAAGCAACAGGGCCCCTCTGCCAATAAGCAGTTGCAGGGGCATGTTGGGGAAACTGCAAGATTAAAGGAGCTGCTACACAGTGCACTTCCACTGCAATTTTGGTAGGTCTCTATCCATAAGGGCCTGTCCTCGGTTCAGTGTTGTTTAACATATTTCCTAATTATTATTTGAGTACTGGAAAAGAGAGCTTTCTGAGTATATCTGCGGACAACATAATACTGGGAAGCACTGCAAGCATAATGGAAGACAGAAGTAGAATTCAGAAAGGTCTCCTTGAATTAGAAAGCTGGGCTAGGGCTGACAAGATGAAGTTTAGGGAAGAATAAGCAAAGGCACAAATACAGAATGGGGGATACCTGGCTGGGTGGCAGCAGTGCTGAGATGGATCTTAAGGTTTTGATGAAGATCTTAACATGAGTCTGCAGTGTGATGCCGCTACTAAAAAGTGAATGTATGTTTGGGCTGCATCAATAGGAGTAGTAAGTATAAGGCATGGGAGGTGATAGCACCATTCTGCTCGGTACTGGTTATATTTGTTCTAGCGCAGTGTGTGAAGTTCTGGGGTCCACAGCTTAAGAATGATGTAGAAAATTTAGAGAGGGTCCAAAGCCAGGCAAGTGAAATGATAAAGAGTTTGGAAGGCAATCCATATGAGAAGTTGAGAGAAATAAGCATGTTTAGGTTGCAGAGAAGGCAATTATGGGGGACATGTTAGTAGTCTTCAAATATCTGAGAAGCCGCTATGAAAAAGAGGGCCATCAACTTTTTTCCCCTCACTTTAGAGAGTAGAACATATGGCTATGACTTCAAATGGCAGCCAAGTTGGTTTAGAGTGGATATTAGGAAAAACTTCTTCACTGGTAGAACAGCAAAGCAGTGGAATAGACTGCCTAGGGATGTGGTGGAATCTCCTTCACTGGATGTTTTCAAGAAGAGATTGGATAAGCATTCATCAGAAGTAGCAATGCCTGGAGTGGTCTGTGAAGAGCACAAGTAGGAAGCCTAGGATACCACCTCACAGGCCTCACTCAGAGATCACAAGAAGAACTCTGTAGCCAGAGGCAGATGGAAATTGGAGAGGACCATGCTCAGCAACCAAAGGATGAAGCAGTGGTTACAAAAAAAGCTTAAAGGAGCTGGGATAAGTTTACAGGGGCAGAGGGGTGTATGCTGATAGAAAGGCTTGGCTCTCCAGTCAGAGTGTGAGATACATGGAGTTGTGGTTGTGGTCCCTAGGCTACAGCACACAGAGGATAGCATTTGGTTATTCCATGCTTCTGTGCTTTGTTGGTCACCACAGAGGTCTGAGAGGCTTGTTTGCAAACTTTTTAAGAATTGGTTTAGACTAATATTTGCCTAGAATAGTTTGCATAGGGATGCTCCTGCCTTCAGCAGGGGGTTGGAATAGATGACCTCCTGAGGTCCCTTCCAGTCCACTTTTCTATAATTCTATATCCTTCTGCTCAATTTTTCCATTGCTTCCTTTGTAGGGCTTCAAAAAGCAGACCTCCAAAGAGATACTAGTTTCTTACTCTCTGGGAATATTACTTGTCAGTGAGATGTCTGCCATTATTCACTGGCTGTGGAGATTTGTGTCTGTGCCTGCAAGGAACCCAACTTTTTAATTTCAATACATTCACTCTTTACTTTCCACTGAAAATTCTGAAGAACCTCAGAAATCACTCCCCCAGCCCCCTCATGGTAAGAGACTATGCCCAGTCATTGAACAGCAAATGTCATCACTAGCAGAGGGAATACCAGGACATCTCACAGTGCCAGTGAATACTTGGAGGCAGCTGTTTGGGAAAGGAAAGGTTAAAATGAATAATGGCCTTAAATGCCATCGTTAACTTGGACCTCCTGCATCAGCACTGCTGCTTAATTTGCAATTAAATTCTTCACATCCCTTGAATCCCCTTCTGAAGCTGCAATTATGGAAAGCAGAGGCCCATTCACATTCTCCAGGTGCTAGGAGACAGCTGCAGAATCCTTCCTGACATGCCATTTCCCAGTAAGCCAAGGCTGTGTTTGTGCTAGGTTAAATTGCTGTTCTAGCCTTCCATCTTCTCTGTGTTTCTGGTATCTCTCTCTCCCTACTTTGCAAAGGACTATCAGTTATGTGTGGTAGTTTGTGGCATCAAAAGAGCCCAGATAAAGAGCATGTGTATTAGACTATCAGCTTTAGCTCCTTTGTCAAGGGCTGCATTGTCTCTTTAATGCTGGAGCCTCTCTCAGTGATACACTAAATCAACAACTGCAACTCCTACAGTTATTTCCCCATTTTTTGGGGACCTTTGCTAAAAACTCACATGGCACAGGTGATTACTGGATTTTGGAAGACTTTGATGGCAACAGGGCATTTGTGGTACTCTCCTTTGTAAATCACATGGCTTCTGGTTTCCGTCAGGAGGGTCCATGGGGTCTTAATTAGATTCTCTATCATAATCTCAACTACTTCCTTTCTTGGAACTGTGTTGTCTTGTTTCATGCTTGATTCTTCTACAACTAAAAAGAGGAACAAAGAAAAGGAATCTAGATGACGCTCTTGGTAAGAAACATAACAGCCAGGATCTTACAGACAAAGGATGGGCTTATATGACCATTTCTTCTATTTAGAAGGGTGAAGGATTTCAAGGTTGTTGATATGGTCTAGCCCAGGGGTGGGCAAAATACGGCCCATGGGCTGGATCTGGCCCACCAAGCCATTCTATCTGGCCAGCGGGGCCCCTAAACAATTTAGAAAATATTTATCTGCTTATGGCTGCCTGTCAAAGATGACAGAAGCCAGGGCAGTAGGACCCAGGGAGAGTCATCAGCAGGACCAGGGCAGCCTAGCCCTGCCCTACCCCCAGACATTTCCCTGCCTTCTTGCTCCCCCCATTGCTCCAACACCACGTGGCTCCCAGCTGCATCGCGGGACTTGGAAGCATGGGGATGCACCCCAGGTGTGTGTGTGTAGGGAGGGACTCTGTGTGTGTGTGTGTGTGTGTGTGTGTGTGTGTTTTTGTAGGGTGAGTTCCACACACATACACCCCACCATACACATGCACCCATCCCCCCCACACTTCCATACATGCAGACCCCCACATAACCCCCCACATATCTACACACATGCCCATATGCTCCCTCACCCCACACCCACACCTCCTACACCTATCCACCCCCACAGACACACCCACACCTTCCCCCACACACTGCATACCCACACACCCACAGCCCCCCACAAACCTATACCCCCCCACACAATATACAAGAATAAGACTTCATTTCTAGCTGTTATATACAATCACCTCTATGTACACAACACAAACACATGTAAACCAGGACAAAAATATTTTTTTTAATCAAATTAATGAATGTTTTAGATATTAACTTTTTAAACTATAATTTGGTATTTTTCTGGTTCCGAGATAGCAAAACCCCTTGCTGAAAAGAGTACTTCCAGGGCCAAGGTGAGAGACTTCTAGTGGCAAAGGTCAGGGGGTGGGACTTCCAGCCACAAGATGGGGGGCAGGGCACCTGTCAAGAAGTGGAGCTACCCATGACACCCTCGACAACTTGCTAAAACTTGGTAAGCAGCCCTCCGCCCGAAATAATGTCCTGCCACTGGTCTAGCCACACTGTGGCCAAATAAGAATTCCAGGAAGAACTCCATGGGAGACAAAATATCAAATCACAAACCTCTCCCTCCCTCCCTCCCCACCACCATCTTCCTCCCTCCTCTTCCTTCTCTCTCTCTTCTTCTTCTTCTTCTTCCTGTCTATCTGTCCCTCTTTCCCATCTCTTTCATCCCGCCCAACACCCTGTCCAGTGATGGAGATCTTATAAGGCAGGATCCAAACCATCCCAAATAAATATGGTTTAACCTATTTCTAGAACTACACAAACAACCGTGTTGTACAACTACAAGGCATATTGCTGCAAAACACCAAGAACACCCTAACCTGCCTCAAGTAAAGCAGGGGAAGGAGGGCTAATGTTTCACTGCAAAAAGGGTTGTTTAAAATCAACTTGAGTAATTGTCAGCCTGCATGTATGTAGTATTGGAATTCTTTAAATTGGCCCATTCCTGCCTTCCTGCCTGGGCAGATAGTAAGGCAGCCAAGGGAAACTTTTACACAGTGGAAAGATTTAGACTTTAAGGATTCCTCCACTACCCACTTGTTTAGATCTTGGCTAATTTGTTTCCCACCAAGATGACATCACTAGGGAAGGCTTCTCCCGTGAGGAAAGGAGAAACCCCAGGTGGATAGTGGTGGGGTTGGGCAGATTTCAGACTTGACATGGTAACAAGGTAAAGCCATGCAAAATGGGAACAGGGCTGAGTTTGAAGTAGCCTGTGCAGGTACTTGTAGTCAGACTGGTAAGAGCAACCATTCATCTGAGAATCATTATGGCGAACTCACTAGCCCCAAAGGTGAATGTGCATTGTCATCAGCTTCAGGAGATCCTTCCACAGGGAAAAAATTATGATGATAACTTACACATTTTCACCATTTGGGTAAGTTCTTCCACCTTGCCATCCATATTTTTCACACTGTTATGGACATCATCCACTGCATCTCTTGTTTCTTTGCTGCCTATGGAAAAGGGAGAAGCAGGAAGTCAAGCTCTTTAGATAAACAGGTGGGAGAGATGCACTGGGATTTCTTGTAGTCCTTACACAGCCCTTCCAAATATCTGAAACACTAGGGGAATGACTGGCCATGTCCTGGAACTGGGGCTATGCAGTGTGGGAGTCCAGAGAGAGTTAATGGTTTGGCCCTTGTATTCCCTTAATTTTTAAGACTACAGTAAAAGCTTTGTTATCTGGCATGAGTGGAGTAAAGGGGATGCCAGTAATCTAAAAATTCTGGTTATCTGAGAGTTATATGGAAGACAATGCCATACTTGTAGTGCAAATACTTGATGTGCATGCCAGATAGACTTGACAAAGATTCCAGTTGCTAAAGTGAGGATTTGTATTGGGAGATATTGGAAATTCCGGTTAATAGAGTATTCTGGTTAGTAAAATGCCAGTTAACACAGCTTTTACTGTATTTAAAGTGGCGTTCTCCACTGAAAAGTGACACCCAAGTGGCCTAACAGACCACGTTTCCTATCTGCCTTCCCTGCACTAGCTCAGGTTCTGAAAGTCTAAGCTGGTATCTTTCCTTCTTGCACGTCAGCATCAACACTTAAAGGCCTGCATGTCACGAGTAGGTTCTCAGCACCATCTGTCCCACTCCAGTTGCCTCAATGAAATTGATTGGAACATAGTAAGCAATGCAGTTGATCTATTTGTTTTAGGATTTTCTAAAGTATGTAACTCCTTAAGGGTCCCTAATCAGAATCACTGATACCTAAGAAGAAATAGACTTCAGTTCCTTCTTCCATAGCTCATCAAGGATAATGGAATAAAAAGAAAAACGATCTTATTACTGTCAGCACCTCCGTCAGCTCTGAGGTATGTGTGTGTGTGTGTGTGCATGTGTGTAGGAAGGTGTTTCAGAAAGTAACAGCAATTTTGAAATAAAACAATTGTGTGTACAACGAGAGAGAAACGATGCAGAAGCAGAGAACACTGATGGCAGCACTGTTAAATGAACCTGTCGTTGATGACCAGGGATCCTGGTTTTCTCTCATAAAAATTCCCCAATTTTCAGATTAAAAAAGTAACCCAAAATCCACATTTTGCCCTGATTAAAATGAACACCACTATACATATATCTATATTAGTGTTTCATTTTAATCATGGAAAAATGTGGATTTTGGGTTACATTTTTTAATCTGAAAATTGGGGATATTTTTAGATCAGAAAAAACAGGATCTCCGTTTATGACTGTGTAGAGAAATGATGTGGTCCAGTACATGACCATTGCACATGCAATGGTTTTATTTTGAAACTGTCATTAGTTTCTGAAATACCCGTGTGTGTACTGTACCTGAATACAAGATGGCCCTAAATGTAAGACACCCCCCCAAATATTAGATTCTACACAAGGAAATTGATAAATTTATTATCACGTTCTATGTATTGAATCTAATTATTGGAGGATCACCTTAAATCCTCCCCACTTCCTCTCCCAGTACTGCAGGTGGTGCAGGAAGATGTGATGAGGGGGGCAGCAATGGGGCAGGTAGTGGTGGGGCAGACAGTGGGGGAGGCAGTAGAGGGCATGTGGTAGGGCAATGGGGAAGGTAGTGAGGGACAGACAGTAGGGAGCAAGCAGTATGGAGGTGGTGGGGCAGGCAGTGAGAGGGGCAGGCGCCTTGCCCCCTGCCACCTATCCCCCTCCCTTCCCCCACTTATCTCACCATCGTGCCCGATCCCTGCAGCCTCAGGCTGCCCTGATTCGTCCTTCCCATTCCCCCATGCCACTTCTGCCCCCTGCAGCCTCAGGTCCCCTCCCCACCACAAAGTCTCTCTCCCCTGCCTGCCCCCCACCCCTTACCTTAGTTCTACAATGGTAGGCTTTGTCCCTGCTGCAGCCTGGGGCACAGAGCATGGCTCCAGCCAGGCCTGGATCTTACTCCAGGCTGCAGCAGGGACAGAGCCTGTCGATGTGGAGCAAAGGTAAGGAGGTATATGGCAGAGTGGGGGGAGAGGGAGAAGCGGAACCAGGGGGAGACTAGGGGTCGCAGGGGAAGAGTGGCAGGGCATGCAGAGGCAGTGGGGTGGGCAGCCAGCTGTTGCAGGTCTGGGAAGGGAAGTCTCGTCTTCTAATCAAGTAAATAAGTTATGTCATATATATAGGACTAAGCCTGTAGAATATGAAGGGGATGTTGTATATCACTGCTTTTTAGAGCACAGTTGGATTGGACGTGTTAGTCATTGTCAGCACCTTTGCTGTGTCAGTTCTCTGAACACTTCCAGGCCCTAAAGTTTGAAAGGCCAAATCTGAGTCTGCAACCAGGAGATGTGAAGCTGGACTCAGTGGCTCAGGCCATCCTAGCTACTCTCTTAGGCAGGGGTGGGCAAAATACTGCCTGCAACTGGCCCGCCAAGTAACTTCATCCAGCCTGTGGCAGGTCTCTCAGCCCTGCCTGGCCCAGGTGCAGGGGGCAGCCCAGGTCGTGGCACTTGCAGCCTGTCCTGCCACCCCCAGGTATGCAGCAGGACTGGGCTGGTTCAGTGGCCAGATTACACTTCTCGGCAGCCCTGGGAGCAGCAGTTCCTTCTGGCTGCTGCCAGAATTGGCCCCACTACCTGGGCGCCTCAGCCTGTCCACCCTACACCCACTGCCCAAGGACTATGGACAGACTGGGGTCTCCATGGAGACTGGACAGGGACCCATGCAGGCAGGGTGCATTCAGCCAAGGGGATGAGATGGGAGGTGGGCAGTGGCATCCAGGAGTGGGACCAGTGGAGCTGAGGCAAGGGCCAGGATTGCGGGGCTTTGACAGTGCAGAGCCAGGGCCCAGGGCAGAGCCATGATCTGCTGCCCACACATCCCTGCAATGGGTGCTGGTGCTGTGGGCAGAGGCATGCTGGGAGTGGATTGCGGCTCTGCTCTGGGCCCCCGTCTTGTACTGTCACCACCTGCAATCCTGACCCCAGCCCCAACCTGCCTGTCTTGCTCCCAGACATCGCTCCCCACCTGCCCACAGTCCCATCCCATCCACCCAGCCAACTGCACCCTGCCCATGTAGGTCCCACACTGGTCTCCATGGAGACCCTTGGATTGCCAGGTGGTGACAGTGTGGGGTCAGGCCTCAGGGCAGAGCCATATAGAGAGTTTTGGTGACCTGTTGGTGACCTGTTGGTGACCTCCCCAGGGTGCAGGGGGAGGAGGGGTGTGCTGACCCGGTGGGGTATAGGGGGTGCTGACTGGTCCATGACAGCTTATTAAAACTCCCTAAATGGCTCTCTAGACCATACAGTTGCCCACTTCCTCTCTTGGTGTCAGGAAGAATAGTTTTTAAACTGTGTGTTTACTTGCAAGCAGCTCTTCCAAGAAGGCCTTATCGGCCTTGATGTCCTTGTCATCCTCCTTGTTGCAGGTGTCTTGCTGGAAGACCTTTAGGAAGGACTGCTGCTGCTCAGCCTGCAGTAGGAGTGAGAGCCCTTGAGCAGCATCTCCAAGACACACATTCACCTGCATGAACTCTTCTTTAATATCACTGGCTTGAAAGAACTTCTGTAGCCATGTCTTCTGGCTGTACTTTGTCACCAGCTCCTGGGCCTTCTCCAAAGTCTTCAACAGTCCCTTCAGGGTCTTTTCTACTTGAGGGGAGATTTGTTGTGGAGTCTGCGCCTTGAGAGTCATTATAGGTCTCATTAGGGTTTGAATGCGGTCCCTGAGGCGTTTGCACTGGGACTGACAGTACTTCACATGTTCACACTGGGTGTAGATGACCTGGGCTATGCTCAGGACCTTCTCTGCTATTTCCATGTCTGAAATTAAGGGAATTTTTCCATCAGAAATATGGCGCACACTGTGCTGGGAGAGAAAGCTGGCTTTTATTTTTCCTTTAACTCATTTGTCTTAATGTGATAGGATTACCATAATTATCCTATCCTATCCTATTCTTGTGGCATGTGGGACAGCCTCTCTGAATCTCTGCCTCACTGACTTAAGCGATGGATGAGCCTCAAAAAGAGGATGCAATTCATCCTTGTGGAGAGAGCTAAAACAAACTCCAGTTTTCTGCTTAAGTCTGACTTAAGCTCTCAGGATACCAGAAACTTGTACTGGCTTTGTGCACAGGGATGAGTTGCAACCCAGATTTGGAGTTGGCACTCATTTTGGATAATAATTCAGCTCCTTCTGGCAATTGAACCATCCAGACCTATTGAGTCCACTATACCTGGCTGGGAGTTCCACTACAGCTGGCTCTCCTGCAAGGTTTCCAGAGGTTCTGCTAACAACCAGGACAGCAGCCATGCCTCAGATTCTATTTTACCTTTATTTCAGGGATCTAGGCTGTAACCATGTTGGTCTAAACACAGAGGCAACTTTTTTGCAACTATTTGGTTGGTTTAATAAAAGATATTGCCTTTACCCAAAGAGTTCATTTTACCTTTATGCATCTAAGTGCTACCACACTTAGCACACTTACTACAGTTATCACTACAGTAACTATTCCCCATCTAAATTTAGACACCCGTGACACTTGCTGATATTTATGTGAATTTTAGATCTTATTGCTACCTGCATAACTAGACTTGTTTTTCTGAGTGTGCTTAGAAGGGATCCATCACAGGCACTTATTCACTGTTGTAATCCTATTCAACCTGGAAAGGCATGCACTTCTGTGTAAGTCTTTAAAACTACTGCGGGGGGGGGGGGATCCTGAACACACCTCACCCTTTTTTGTTGTTCTGTGTGTGTCACTACATTCCTCCTAACAGATACTATGACCCCATAAGCAGTTCAGTCTGAATCACAATGATTACCATGTGAAAAAAGCAGATTGTGAGGGTCAGTTTAAAGGATTTTAAGATGCAGAGGCCAATGCTAATAAGGTGACTCTAGGAGGGAACAATGGTCACAGGTCACCACTCAGTTTCCCTGCTATTTACTCAACTGGCCAAAAGATTATCTCAGAGAAATGGGTGAAATATAGAAATCTGAATCTGAACTATATAAAACGCCACACAAAGGCAGAGGTGTAGGAGTCTGGAACTTAGAAAAAATTCTAAAGACATATCTGAGGAAAACCCAGATGTATGGTAACCCTAAATGTCAGCACCAAAATGAGCTAAGTTTAAATCAGGTGTCCATTCTGAACCTGATTTAACCTCTCCAAATGCCTGTATTTAGCCAAGGAGGTTAAGCTAGAGGCAGCCTGACTTAGTGTTAAAGGGACCCCACTTTTTACACAGCTTGAGCCCTGCAGTTCATAGGGCCAATCCTACTGAAGGGAGTCTAGACCTTGTTGGGTTTCCCACTTTCTGGGCAAGTACCCTAATAGCTAAGCTATTGGGCTAAAACCTTGTGGAGTGCCCCCCCCCTTCCAGTTACTCCACCTTTTTGTTCTCTGAAAAAAGTTTTGGGGACTTTCACATCACATCAGCACATAAGGGATGATAGTGGATTTAATCTGAAATGGGTCTAAAAGCAACCCAAATATCATTATGTTGCTTGCTGTGGAACCTGTTTTTATTCTGTGAAGGTCTGGTCATTTCCACCATTCAAGGGCCTGGCTTTGGGTGTCTATTTCACCAGACCCTGAACTCTTCACTCCTTTCTTATACTCTTGGGAAAATCACAGCCCCTTTCTTTCCTCCCAGCTATAAGTGCACTGCAGGGGATTCCCTAGGATCCTGTCACTAGTAGGCCAGGTGGCCATTACTAAGTCATAGCAGATGCTTTATGACCCATTGCTTCCTGAGGGGACTACAGACTGCCCCTGCTAGCATCCCATTTCTGAACCATGATCGTATCAGCAGTAAAGATAACTGCAAGTTAAGAACTGCAAGTTAAGAACTGCACACTAAGAGCCAGACTGCCGAGAGAGCATATTGCTAGCTTTCCAAGCAGCCTTCAAAGCAGCTTTCACTTCTGCTGCCTGTTTGCCTTTGCTTTCAGCTTTGGGGACATTCTAAGGAGCTTGGAAATAATTGGAAAAAACAAGTTTCCCTGGCTGTCCCATCTAGTCTCAGCAGCCTGCCAGCAACTTCATACTTTGTGCTCTGTCCAAGACAGATATTAAACAGACATGTTCTGAAACTGCAACCACTTTAATTTCCCTTCAAAGAGGATCCAGCCACTTTTCAGGCTCCTCCTCCTCCTAAGTGAAGAAATAAAATAGTCAAACTTACCTGATGTCCTGTGTTGCTATTCGCCTCCTACTCACCCCCTCTCTTGTACGGGATGAACTGAGAGTACAGCTGACCTTTCTGGAAACTCCGTGTGCTGTTCTTTCTAGCATCAGCCCCACCTCCCTGACACTGTGACGATTAAGATTATGTAATTTTGCTAATACGTTTACTTCCTTTTCTTTTTTAGAAGAAATCTGTTTCCTCTCACTTAACTCCTTCACTTTCGAGTCAAAAAGAAGTAAGGCAGATTATGTTACTTTCTTTCTTTAAATAATCAATTTATATTTTTCTTTCCAGGGTGTATTAAGAAATACCGTAGAAGGAAGAGTGAAAGTATTCAAATGCCTAGCTAGTGGCCAAGATGACAGAACTCTATGAGATTCCCACCTCCCACCCCTGCTTGTTTTATAAGATGCAACACATTCTGCTTTTTCTTAGCATCTTACTGAACTTTAAATCTCAGGAGATAAGATTCTCCAGACCAACAGAAGACCCCTCAGCCCAAGTGTCACATAAGGAAAGTTAAAGTTGGGCAAAGAATGATTTCAAATTGCTTTTGTGCCCCCAGTTTTGTGGTTACTAGCTACTGCGACCATCACCGCTATGTGCTGAAGCAGCTCTACTTCTGCTGTAACCACATCAGCTGCCAACTGTCTGTTGGGACTATTCCAGCAGCAGGGATGTTCCCAACACTCTCCTTTCCCCCTGCCTGGCTGTGGCTCCTGGGTTGGGAGGGAGTGCAGGAGAAGGGGAGTTTCTGAAGATCCATCTGCAGCCTGAAAACTTATATTAATGAATGGTCAGATCCATTTAGGCCTGCTTGTCCCATCACAGCAGAGCCCAGTCCAGCAATGAGGGGTGTAACCCAATCTTAATGTTAGTTGGTTCATATGGACTTCCGGATGTAGCCCAAAAATCTTGATCATGATGTTGATCCCCTTACTCATGGTGGGTAGCACCTTGTTACACAAGTAATCCTTTGGACTTCAGTAGCACTATTTGTGGGAGCGTCACACAAATACAAGTACTTGCACACCCTGCATACAGAGCTCTGGAGTGGGAGTGGCTTGGTTGCTGGTAAAACAGGTGCAAAACAGAGGTGCATTTAAATAAGCTGTCCCAGGCCCCGCCCCCAAAGACATCAATATTCATAATTTGTTGCTAGCAGACCTGGCACTTCTCTAAAGCTGTGCTGAGTGTAGTAGTCTCAGTGGTACACAGGATTTTCAAAAACACCTAAATGTACCATCACTGGGAGGAGGCAGATCTGGGATTTTAAAAAAAGAGTGTGGCCAGGTGAGACTGGTACTGCAGCTTTACCCTGGGTGGGGGGGAAACAGGCTGGTGAGATGCACCTGGACTCCTCTGGCCCACAGAGGACACCTGGGAGGGTATGGGAAGGGGGCAGATGCAGGAAGGGGAGGCTCATCTGCTGTGCTGCTGTCCCCAGCCAAGCTTGGCACCCTACTCAGCTCCTGCCCACAGTCCCCAGCTGCAGCAGGGCAGGAGCAGCCCTAGAGCTCCCTCTGTGACCAGGTCAGCCAGGGACAGTGGCAACAATGGGTCATAAGTTCCCCCTTCATGCACCTGCTTGGGGGCTCCAGCTGCAGGGAGCAGCTTCATGGGGTACCAGGCTTGGCCAGGAATGGTAGTGGCATACAGGTCCCTGCTCAACCCTGCCAGTGCAGAGGCTATAGCTACAGGAAGCAGCTGGGTGGGGTGCCAGGCTCACCTGTGAAAGGTGGTGGCAGCAGGTTTCCCCACTGACCAGAGGGCTCTGACTGTGGGAAGCAGCTACACAAGATGCAGCGGTCAGCCAGAGACAGCAGAGGCAGCAGAAGGTGGGTAGCTCTGCACCCCCCGTGGATCTGCCCCTGGGGATACACATTTTGAGAGCGACATTATGGCTTACAGACTACAGCAGGGGCCTGGATTCTATTTCCGGCTTTCTGACCTTGGGTCACTTCCCCTCTCCATTTTCTCATGTTTTGCCAGTCTCAGGCTTCCGATCACCAGCTCTCTCAGTGTCTGTGTATAGCTCAATTTCACTTAATGCTTTCTATAGGAGTTACTCTAATACTTACACTAAAAAGAATACTGGACCCAAGTTAGAGGTTCCCAAGCTCTTTATAGACTGACAAAATATTTAATAGATTTCACAGATTTTGTCTGTCCTCAACATTTCTTATGGACAACAAGGCACTTTTAGCATCAAACTTGCCATGAGTTGGCTTTTCTTTGCCCTGCCTGAACATCTATGGTTACATTTTATTCTGAGACAAAAATATGGTTTCAAGCCACTTTAGAGGAAAATTACACATTTCCTCAGCAGAGAGGGAAGATACAGCTGGATGAAAGAAATGGTGATATTTCCTAAGCAGTGGCTATACTGGAGATGATTTATCAAGAGAAGAAGGGACCTGTAGGAACATCAAAGAGCTGGATCAACGCCTGATCCCCTGGCTTCTCCTGAGCAGCCCTGAGAGCCAGTCATTCCTATGCAGCCGCTGTGTGGATGCTATAGTTTTATTCAGCCAACCTCAAGTCTTGCTGTGCTTTGGCTGCAAGACAAGACACAGACATTCTAAGAAGGCACTGCTGAGTAATCAGTGCATGGCCACAGTATGTTGTGAGGGTTCAATCTTCTCTTTCAGAGATGAACTAGTAGTAAGTCTCGGGTGGATGCATAACAACCCATCCACCCAAGTTTCAGGAGGAAATGGAACAGCAACTGTTGAAGAGGGAACTTGAGACCTGTAAAAACTGATCATCTGCTTTGGTAGGTGAGGAGGAGATGCTTTCCTGGCAGCAGTATAGGAACAGGAAGTGATAATTCAGTAGCGGTAAAGATTGAGGTGTCTGTCTTTGTTGTTGACAAGTTGAGGTTTAGGAGAAAAATTACAAATACATCCACAGAAATGGAGAAGTTTGCAAAAGTTATCTGGACAGCTGGATGCCAGATGAACTGCTTTCCTGGATCTGGATGTCAACCACAGCCAGACATTTTAAGAGTACCATGCAGAACATCAGTCTGGGGAAAGGAAACCCACAGGCCTTTGGTTCCTGGAAAAAAACCAATCCTGGAAGTGTCAGTTAAGGGATACACTTACAATAGCTGTAGCAGATAAATCCCAGCAGACCTGCACAACATAGACCAAACTAGGGCCAGATCTGAAGGGGGAAGAGATGATAGGGGTACACCCCCTTTTCACCTCAGAGAGCTCTGGTTACAGACAGCACAAGCATGCTCAGCAAGCTTGCTGCTGCCACCTCACTCCACTTCGTGGAATCCTGGATCTGCTACTGAGCAAAACTGGTTTATTGACTTTTCCCATCATAAAAGGAGTTGTCATGTTTTCACAAAGTTAAACAGTAACACACATTATAGGCATGGAGAAAAGAATCAGACTGAAACAATGCAGTTACAGTTTGACCTCTATGGCTCTTGTGAAGCTCTAGCTTAGTGCTCATAGCACAAAGCTGTAAATAAAATTGCTCTGGAAGTTTGGGGCTGAATTTTATTATAGAGTAAGTAGTGAAAATGCATTGCTGTTCTGTTCAGTGAAGAGAATGGCTGTCTATACAGACCCCAGAAGAGGCAGTATTACAAGAACATGGAGGTCATATGCTGAAAAGACTGGTTCCCTGTGTGGTCATAATTCTGCTTCCTTTTGCATACACATTGTTTTTCCACTTTCTTCAGTAAATGGCTCCAGGCCTTATCTGCTGCACACAATTCAAGTCCTGCTATGAAGAAAGAATTATACATTTCCTCTGGGCTTTTTTGTGTGCTTGGATACTGTAGCAATGAGCAACTTCCCAAATGTTACTGTATTTTCACAATATCACTGTAAGATGAAGAAATGAAATTTTTCCCCATTTCATCAAAAGCATTCACTAATTTTGGTGCCCAATGTGAGACGCTTATGACTCGAGTCAGCGCACAGAGAATTTCCATTCCCTTTCTGTGTTCAAAGCAGAACTTCCATAGGCTTCAGTTGTACCTAGGAGTGCACACCATTTCTGCAAATGAGAACCACGCTCTCAAGTCAGATGCACAGAAAGTGAGGAGCGTACAATGGCATGCCTAACGTATTGGAACTGTCACAGAGATCACAACATTCTCTAGGTCAGCAGTCAACTCCATCCTTTCTATTCCTGCATCCTCCCCTTGATCACTATGTACTGTCTCTAGTGGGTTATGGAATAGAGAAAATCCCACACAATTTACTGATTCGTTTTGATGCACTGGCTGGGGGAGTAGTTAGCTGATTGCACGATTTCACAATGATTACACACTTAATTTATACAACACAATTTTATTTTAAAACTCTTTGCTACGTATATAACACTGCTTAGCTTTAAGAAACACCACAAACATTAAAAACACAATAGTTACATATATCAGAAACAATGCTCCGAATGCACTTCCTTCCCAAACAATGCTATAAGAATTAGTTACAAAAACAACTACAATTACAACTAAAAGTTAAATTTGAATCAATACTGTTATTTTTCATAATATACTTACAATCCTAGAATTCCGAGAAGCCAAATACCAAAATACGGTTTCATTCCTCAGTAGTACAATTTAATGGGTTGGCCTCAGTAGTACGGTTCAATAGGCTGGCCTCAGCAATACGATTCAATGAGCTGGGCTCACCAGTGATAGGACTACGTCCCCTTCCTTCAGCCCCTTTCGGGCGCTCCGCGACTTCAGCGTGAACTAAGAGATTCGTGTTCACGGAGAGGCTTGATTAGGCGATCAATCTAATCCGACCTTATACTTGCGATTCTTCCTTCGTTGTTCTGCAAGTGAAGTCACCTCCAAATTGGGACAGTAAGTTACAGGTTTTTATTGAGTGAGCTGCCGTCATTGGGCTCCTCCTACTCAATTCATCATAACTCCCAAATTTGGGCTCGGATCTTACTCAACAGAAATTACCTTTGTTGAGCATTTTTAAATTATTCTTGGGGAGACTTCCATATCACTGTAAATACTCTTTTCTTAGCAATTTGGTTAAAAGGCCTTAGGCTTTGATGTCTCGGAATTTAGGACATTTGCTTTCTTTGTAAAAAACTTCTAAAGGTACAATTTAGATTAAGGTTTTAGGCGAAGTCAGGACATTTCGCACGTAGCTCCAAAACA